AGAGAGAGAGAGAGAGAGAGAGAGAGAGAGAGAGAGAGAGAGAGAGAGAGAGAGAGGTGGAGGGAGTAGAGAAAAAGAAAGTACATCATTTCATCATCTATAATACTTTATACAATGTAGCTTACATTATATGCCACTGGTGTGCCAATGTTATTAATACCTACATCAAATACCAGATAAAAAAATTAGAATTATACATACAAGTATACATGTAAAGATGTGACACACTCACAATACAAGAATAATGTATACATGTACATGTACATTTATAAAAAACTTTCATGTATTTCTAAATTACCTTAAATTATAATGTATTAAATTATAATGTATTATTAAATTATGATGCATACTGAATATATACAATGTACATATATAACAAATAAAAGTTTCATGTATTTCTAAATTACCTCCTCCCATCATTCCTCCCATTCCCAATCCTCCTCCTCCTAGTCCCATACCCAGTCCGCTTCCTCCGAGACCCAATCCTCCGGTACCAGTGGTGGCAGCACTCGTACGGTTAAATAAAGGAGTAGAGAAAGCACCTGCTCCTAGTCCTCCTGCACCACCTCCTAGTCCTCCAGCGGACTGGTTGAAGAGACCTCGATTAGCTGATAAACCACCACCACCTAATCCACCTGGAGAGAGAGTACATCATGAATGGACATATGAACATTTCAATATTGGAATTTTCAAATTACATATGTTCTTTAGCTTAAAAATCAAAAGGGCCTATAGCTACATTTTAATTTACATGTACAAGTTGTAGAGTTAGTCATAAAGTATGCATATGTGAAACTACTTTTTCTATTAGTCTAGTTTCAGTTACATGTACATGTATACAAGTATGCATGTGTCTTATCATTATTTATCTTCTTTTAACTATAGAGCGGTTTCATATGACGTCACAGCATGCGTCATAATTACTTCCGCATGGCAAAATGGCTACTTTGCCATTCATTTGTACAGCGCTATAAACTCTTCTGGCAGGCTTCCTTAACTATGAGCATGGCTAATTCATGCCGCTCTTTTATATTCCTGAACTCAGGGATGCAAAGGAAGCAAAAAGTCCTCGGATAGAGAACCAGTGAAGCGGCCAAAGTGAACACAGCATTGCCTTGTTACTCCTGTAATTATTGCTATCGCTACTTTTCTGCTTACTACTGCTAAAATTGTACTCCTTTTCTGCCTTGTGCTGTGTAAAAGAAGTTATAGAAGAAGCAACTTCACTGCTGTAAACGAATGAGGCTCATTAATTTTTGCCATACAGAAGTAATTATGACGTCAAAAAGTGACGTCACTGCAACCGCTCTATACAATTAAAATGCTAACTGAAGGTGCTTCAAATTGATGATACATGTAACTTTTAAAAGCTATAATAATTAACATACAAGAACTTTTAATTATCAATATAATGTGTTATACCTGCACTGGATATTGGTGAGTTAAAGAGGTTACCTCCCATTCCTAGTCCAGTGGCTCCGCCTCCTCCAAGACCAGTGCCCCCACCCAGTCCGCTACCAATACCACCCAAGCCTGTTCCACCAGCAAAATGACTCTGAGGCGTTTGATTAAAAAGACCACTCCCACCAGCCCCGCCTCCTAAACCGGCCCCACCTCCTCCAGAGAAATAATTAGTGCCTTTAGAAAGGAAAGAAATCAAGAACAGCAAATGCAGTCATTTTGTGCATGTACATGCATTACTAAACTATTAATAGATTTTTAATCAATTAAAGCTACTCAGTTTTAAATAATAATTAATTCAATACACTGAACAAATAATATATAATTACAATAATTCTGTTATCAATTAATTAATAATTACCAGCTGCTGATGACGAGGGAAATAATCCTCCTCCTCCTCCAAGACCAGCTCCTAAATTTCCACCGAGTCCGGTTCCCATACCACCTCCACCAAGTCCGGTTCCTAATCCACCACCGAGTCCGGTTCCCATTCCTCCACCTCCGAGTCCAGTTCCTAAACCACCTCCACCGAGTCCGGCACCCAAGCCACCACCTCCGAGTCCAGTTCCCATTCCACCGCCACCGAGACCAGTCCCCATGTTACCAATGCCTCCTCCAAGGCCTCCTGTGTTACCAAGGCCAGCACCTAGTCCTCCTCCACCACTCAGACCTGGAGTCTGATTGAATAAACCACCGCCACCACCAATACCTCCTGATAAACCTAGAAGGAGAAATAGAATAATAGCAATGACAATATACAGTGTTATATTATAAGGTTGGCAGCTGCTACCTTTACTCGGAGAAGGGCTGAAATAGTCAGTGATCTTACAATTTCTCATTCAAACTTTAACAATTAACCCTTTTGGAACTGGCTAGTTATTATTATTACTTAACTAGCTTTAATCATTTTCATTTACTTTGAAACGTACCTGTGCCATACATGTCCTGTGGTTAGGGTACTGTAGTAGGAAGCCACAAGGCAAAGGGAAAGTTCTTGTTACAAGTACTAACGAATACAGGCGCTTCTTTACTGTTTGCAGCAACAAGGCGTAAAAACAGAAGCAGGGTGAGCTCTAGCAAGCTCCAATGGAGAGAGAAAGGTCTTTTTATTAACAGCAATCGAAGAGAATGACGAGTTTAAATGCTTAGAACATCAAATATACAGCAGACATGCTCCTCAACCAGTCCTTTCCAGTTTGCATGAATGGGCGGGGCTCCACGTTTCTGCGCATGCGCATACTGAAACGGACCCCACGTGCTTTCACGTGAGTGCTTGACATTGTGCGCATGCGCAGTTTTAAGGGGAGTGGCTGGGTTGCTGCAAATTTGCAAAGAGATCAAGATGGAGGAGGTAGATGGTATCATTATTTCAACTCTTAAAGAAGTAGGATGGTGAGTATGCTCCTTATATTACTCTAAAACGGCTTTTAATAGCTTATATTGTATATATAACCAGTCTTAATAGCTCTAACTCATTTATTTTAGATGAATAAAATTTATTTTTTGTAAATAATAAATATTGGTTGCATTCCATACCTTTATATTGTAGTGATTTTGAGGATGAGATAGCCAGTCTAACCCAGTTCACTCCAGAGATGGTGGTTGAGGCCAGTGTTCGTTGTCTTCAGATTATCATTCCAGAGTTTCAAAGCCCCACCCACCTCCCTGACGCAATGTCTGCCCGCTTTAGAATGTGCACTGGACTAGCTAATGCCTGCCAGGTGAGGGACAGAGGGAGGGAATGCATTAAAACAGAGGAGAGAGATTTTAAAGATTTTTTTGTGAAATAAGTTTTCATAAAATGCCCAGTCAATAGTGTACTTGGTGCTCATTTTAATGTTGAGCTTAGAAAGTTCATGAATGAAAACAAAAAAGAGATATGCATGTGATAGTGAATTGTATAGCAAGAAAACGAACAGAGATAAATAAAACTGTTTTTATTTTTTTATATTTACGTGTAGGAGCTAGGTTTCCAAGCCGAAGTTGGTTATCAAACATTCCTCTATTCGTCAGTCAAAGACTGGAGGAAACTCCTCATGTTCCTTTTAGAGAAACTGCCAAAGGAAGCGGCTCAAACTGCAGATGAACCCACTGGAGCTGGTATACTCCTGACTAGGAGCATTGGGGCTGAGATTGGAGCATCATTACGAACACCATGGACCCCGTCCTATTGTAAGAGAGAGTCAGTTAGGTGGACCACACCCACCAACTGGAGAATTGAGGTAATGAGAATGATTATATTAATAATGTAGTTGATTTGATTTCATGTGATTTTGCATGTATTATCTATTATTATACGTATAATTTTAGATTCATTTTGTACCCATTGTACACATGTACATGTATGTAAAATGTACATTTTATTGATAATAGTGCTTGTTGTTGTTGTTGTTGTTGTTGTTGTTTCTAGGGGTCATCGGGGCTTCATGCTTTCACTGCATCTGATGTACAGGCACCAACTGGTACTGGAGATTTACAGAAGAAAATACCCAAAGGTATCATAATGATAATAATTGTAATGTGTAACAATTTAATGGCATATTTTTTATTGATCTATTTACATGTACATGTACATCTTTGATTTTATAGCAGTTGCAGATTGATATAGCTACCAAATGGCCGGAAATTTTGGAGGGACTAAAATTTGGCAAATTGCTAAATTTTGGTGATTTTGCAATTTTAATATGGCGAACCTGTGGCCACGTGTCATTGAGCATGCATATAATGGCTCAAAATGGCAGGTTTTATTTTGGTAAATGGCTATTGAAATGCCAAATTTGCCAGATTAATTTCCTCCAAAATGTCCTGCTACACAGTGATTTAATTATGATTATATTCCTATTATATTTATTTCATACATTGCAGAAGTGAAGCTCTATTATGCTCAGGAGATGCCCTATGTTGTTGCCCAGCCAGTCCTGACTAGAGATGTCCTCTCATCACTGCTGGCTAAGAATGACAGTGAGGTAGCTGCTCAACAGGAATGGGAGGCTGAGTGGAATCAGGCTGGACTGGCCTCTCGCCTCTCGGAAAATGTAAGAATAGAAAAAGAGGGAGAGAAAGAGAGAGGGGAAGAAGATATTGGGCAATTAAGAGTGGAAACTGTTAAATTGTGTGTGTACAGCTTTTTTAAAATTATTTTTAAATTAATGGAAATGTAAATGAAAATGAAAATGTAAGAATGAAAATAAAGAAAGAGGGAAAGGATATTTGTAGTGCAGTTATGAGTGGACACTATGAAATTGTGTGTGTACTTATTTTTATGTTACTTTACTTTAGTGAAAACATTGTATGTGTATTACATGTATGTAAAACCTAAAAATGTAAGATTAGAAAGAATGAGAGAGAAAGGGGAAAGTTAATGATAGTACAGTGAAATGAGCTACATGTAGAATACAATCAAAATTGAGATGTTTTGTAAAACTTTGTTTAATATTTTTGTTTTTTGCATTTAACCTTTTAGTGTGATATTTTATTCTTTATATTTAATCTTTTTAATGTTTCTCTTTATTTCTCCTGTAGGAGTACAAAGCTAAGAAGAAGCAGAAACTAATGAAGAAACTCTCAGAGCAACTGAGAGCTCACAATAAAGCCGAGACCAGCTCTGGGGCACTTGGTTTGGGGGCTGATCTCAACCAAATTTTGTCCTCATTTTTTGAGCGGTCTGGGACAGGTCATGGCAAGGGTTCCAGGTTTCAACATGCAGAGAAGCTACAGTTTGCTAAAGTAATTGAATTATGTTTTTGAAGTGATTTATTTGAGGGTGACTTTTGAGCCAATTTTTGCATGGCCTAATGTACAGGGTATTTTTCAGAAAATGGCCTATTTCTTAAAATGGCCATAACTTGAAAAATTGAAGTCGGAATCGGTTCAAACCTTCTACACAGCATAAGGACATCAATATGTATCAGAAAATGTAATAAAAATTTGGGTTGATTCCGGAGCCATTTTTCAGAAAAAAGCATGGGCTATAGTACAGGGTATTTTTCAGAAAACAGCTCATTTAAAAAATTTTTTGAAATAATGTGTATAATATTGCCACTATAACTCTCGAGAGACAATCTTTATCTGCAAGATTATCTTTTTATTTTTATTTGTCTTCCCCCTCTCTTTACAGGAAGAAGATGCTCCTGTAGCAGTTGAGGCCACTTCTGAAGAAGACCTACAGCAGCAAAGAGAACAAGAACTCGCTACGTTACGTGAGCAGCTCAACGACTGGGCCTCTCAATATGAGAAACTGGAACTGGACATCAAGAAATACACAGCTGGTATGTTGTAATGGGCAGAGTCAGTGTTGTAATGAAATTGTAAACTATTTTCAGGCATTGAGAGGATGAGAGAAGAGAAGGAGCAGCAAGAGCTCCAGAACAAAGAGAATGAAGATGCTTACAGAATAAAGAAAGGAACTTATGACCTCCTCCCTCAAGCAGACGAGAATATTGAGAAACTAAAGGTATGTGTGTATTATGTTGTAACCAATTATTGTATAACTCGAAATTTTTGAGTGTATACGAAAATTTTGTAAATTGCTTGTTTTAATGGTGTGGCAATTAAAGGTACGTGCTTAAGTTAAAGGGGAGCTTAATTTGCCAAATTTTTCAAAGATTTTGATTCATAAAAAGTATTTAAATTTTTTCTCTCTCTTTTTTGTTAGGGTCTAGTCCAGACCAGTTCTGATAGGATTGCTAAATTGGCCAAGAAGTGGGAGGAGATTCGTGGCCCAATGATGAAAGAATTGAGGGAATTGAAATCACAATCTGACATCACTGAAGTAACAAAATGATAAATTGAATTTTAATTAATTTTTTCTTTCCCTTTAGATTCAAATACAGGAGCTGTTGCAGGAGATCCAAATACTTCGTGAAGGAATGAAAGAAGTTGCTGATGAAACACGACTCAAAGATGAACTTTATAAGCAGCTGGTAGGTTAATTTAAAAATAATATTAAATTAATTAATTTATTTATTATTAATAATAGGTTGGTGAGTATGAGAGGATGACTAAGGACACCAGCAGGTCGGCATACACCAGAAGAATAATGGAGATTGTAGCAAACATAAAGAAACAGAAAGAAGAGATTAATAAAGTAATGAACAGAATGAGTGGAAGAAGAGTACCAATAGTTAAATGATACATGAATGAGAGAATAAGAAAGGAGTACAACTACATGCACATGTATGCTTAACAACACAAAACCTGATGTTGAATTTTAGCTAGTCAATTCTGCATTAACTTTAAAGAGCTTTCAGCATCAGTCCATGAAGTTTTGGCTTTTATGTCAACTTTATACCAAGCTTTACTGTGTACAGTGTACTACATGTAGATCTATGTGTTTGTAAGATTATCATTTTCTATTATTTCAGATACTTACTGACACTAAGTATGTACAGAAAGAAATCAACCAATTGTCTGGTAAACTTGATCGTGTGTTTCAAGTAACTGATGAACAAGTTTTTAAGGTACAAATCAAAGAAATTATTTTACTCCAAACATCCTATTCTTATAATTAGGATGCACGCAAGGATGAAGCTAGACGCTCGGCCTATAAGCTATTAGCTAGCATTAGAGACGTGAGTCACATGACTATCACATGATTAGTAATGACACACCCACCTCTTATTATTATAGAATAGCAAGCAGGTTGTTGAAGCTATTCACGAGGCAGGACAGGTTAAAAGAGAGCAGCGTGATCTGGAGGAACAGGTTTGACTGGTTATTTAAAACTGGCTTAGCCAGTTATTGTGTCTGTGTAGATTGATCGTGAGACCAGCAAGAAAGTGACTAGTAATTTAGAGAAGATTAATTCTGACTATCAGCAAATGAAGAAGGAGAATGCACAGCTTGTAGCTCAACTGAAATCATAATAATAATAAATAAAATTATTAATAACTAAATGAAACTCTACTGCTATTATTATATTAGATGTAGGTAAATGTTAATTTATGTTAAATAATATTAGGAAAAGCCTAAATAAAGTATAGCCTTTTTTTAATTGTATCATAATATGGTAAAGAAGAGCAAGCTTGTTCATGTTGTTTACTTAGCACTATACTTATTCGTTTATTTGTTTGAAGAGTTTCTATTAGTGATAGTACTCCATCAGTATCAATGCTAGTGTTTGTGATAGAAAGTGTTCCAAGTGTTTTGTTGGTGAGAATGAGTTCTTTCAGTGGCTGCACACTGACTGAAGTTATGCCAGAAGTATAACTGACACCTAAATCAATAACTCGTGTGTTGTCTTTCAGTGAATGAACTAGTGCAATAACTCCATCATCATCAATAGTATCATAATTAAAATCCAGGCTCCATATTGATTCATTACTTGACAGTTGAGATGACAGCGAGAGGATAAAGTCACTTGTTAATGGTGTTCTGCGTATCGTTAATTTTTTTACATTTCTTGCATTCAATATTGCTGGGATTAATAACCGAGTAGCGCCAGGTGATAATTCTTCTAGTAGAGGATAAAGAAAGTTTTTGCTATTTTTTAACTTAGTTATTACATCCTGACATGCCTTTAATGATGGGTTGGTTATTCTCATAAACCCTGTAAAAAATAATCTTGATGAGTATCATTGTAGATACATCTTTGATTCAAATTTCTAACTACACAAGTATACTATACATTCTGTGTATAATACATAATCAAAATCATAACTTGAAATTTGACCTGATAATTTTGTACATGTAATTAGTAATTACCGTCATTATGTTCCTTAATTTCTTTTGGTCTATGTCTTGAATGTGGTACGTAGTCTATAATTATTCATGATTAGTTTGAATACAATGAATAAATTACCACTGTCACTGCTCTCTTCAAGATGAGCCATTTCATCTAAATGCTGAAGCTCTTTAATGACAATTACATTTCAGTAAAGTGACAATTTGAAAAGCTCTTACCAGCTATTGTTTTATCTTTCTCCCTGATGATAATATTCAAATATTTAATCTGTGACTCTGGATCTATTATGCAATACAATTAAAATATATAAACTTATAGATTACCACTGCTTGCTTCAAGGTTGCCACCCATTATTAACTCCTGAAGCTCTATAATGAAATTGATTGCATAAATCCAAGCAATAATTTGAAAAAAATTTTACCAGCTATTGCTTTATCCTTTTCCCTGATGATAATACTTAAATCTTTAATCCCAGACTGCTCTATTAAACAGAAACAATATAATTCAAATTAATATCTACAGTATTGTTTTACCAATAATTTTTTCATTCTCCTTCATAGCAGTCTTTAATGCTTCAATCTGCAACTCATAATCTTTCTCAGCTACAAAAATTAAACCAATAATTGCTTGTAATAGTATAATTACTATACTTTTTGTCATTTCTATTTTTTCTCTTATAGCAGCAGCTTTCAAATCTTCTATCTTTTGATCCTTTGCTCTACTAATTCTTAATTGTGTTTCTATTCTTTCATTTAGTTCTATTATTATTTTCAAATAATAAGTAATATCCTAATTTTTACCTTTGTTTTCCTCAGCAGCAATATTCCCTCTCTCTTATCAATCAAAACTAATAATTGCATTCAAATGATATTTAATAGTTACCTGTAGCATTACTCAATGAAAACTGAAGAGCTTTGATTTCAACCTGTTTTTCCTCTATCATTAACTTTAATTCTTGTAATCTGGTAGCACCTTAATAAAGGCATGAACATGATTAGATTTGATTTTTATTGTTTCAAAATACATACTTTCATTTTCTATTTTTTAAACTAAAGCTGTTTCTTCTGCTATTTTTTTTGCAGCAGCAACTTTCAAATCTTCTATCTCTTGATCCTTTGTTCTATTAATTCTTAATTGTGCTTTGATTACTTTGTTTAGCTCTATTATTTTTTAAAATGATAATTAATATCCCAATTTTTACCTTTTTTGTCCTCAGCAGCAATTGCTTATCAATTAAAACTAATAATTGTACTCAAATAAAATTTAATAGTTACCTGTAGCATCTCTCAATGAAAACTGAAGAGCTTTAATTTCATCCTGTTTTTCCTTTATCACTAACTTTAATTCTTGTATTCCACTATCACCTTGATAAAGTTATGCACATGACTAGGTTTGATTTTTATTGCTTCAAAATACATACCTTCATTTTCTACTTTTTTAACTAAAGCTGTCTTTTCTGCTAATAAATCTTGAAACACTTTTCTCTCCTGATTCTTAAAATCAAATCTAAGAATTATATAATGATAAATTACTTCATTAGAAGATGCTTCGCAATTTATTAATTGTACATTTAGGGATACAAGTAATTGCTTCATTGTACCACTGCTGTTATAAACTGATGTAATGTGCTGGCTCTTCTCTCTTTCTAAAGTTTATAGTAAAAAGTGCACAAACAGCATATACATGATTGTATACTTGTACTCCAAGTAGAAGTTATTGGTAAAAGTATTTTTAAAATTAAATTTTTAAACTTTTCTACAGCCACCACTTTCACCTATGAAGAATTTTATTAACCTATAATAGCATTGAAACAATAATCTAGTAAGCTACCTCATCTTGAGAGTAAATTGTACTGTAGCCAATGGTCAATTTTATCAATCCTTCTTTTTTGAGTTGTTCAAGATTTTTAAGAGCAGTTGCAATCAATGATTCAGAAAGAGCAAGAGGGAAGGAACAAGTGATGATAAATGAGTTTCCTTCCTTTATGACAACAACTCTGATGCATGAAGAATTACTTTCAAAAGCAATTTTTGTTAAATCTTGAACATCTTTTAATGTTCTTTCATCGACACTTTTATCAACTGAAAAACGAAGTGTCTCACATTGGAGAGAAGAAGGACAGCTAATAGTTTCATTCAGCAATGAACGAAGGGAAATATCACTGCAGAAAACTTTTACAGTTTCTTTATACTCAGTAATATGTTCCTTAGCGCTTTCTTCAATTTTAAAACGGTCAATAATTCCTTCAAGTAAAGTGAGGTCCACCAATGAGCAGTGATCAATTATGATCTGCATAACGTCACCCTTCGATTGACATGCGTTTAATTTTTCCTTAATATCAGAGTTACTTGTTAGTATTTGCAAAAATCCTTTCAATTCTTGCACATCAACAGCTATTGCCTTTATGGCACTATCAATTGCAATGGCCCATTTAGTTCTCATTTCTTTACATTCCAAACTGAAATTTAGTGGAACCTTAATAGGATCTATATAGAATAAATTGTATATAAAATGAAATCATATGGTCAGCCATATACCTCCATTTCTACCCATAGTTTTTACTTCAATATTATTATCAACAATCGTTTCACCTATAGCACAAGTATGTAATGAAAACAGTTATTGTAGTTACAAATGGCTTACTGTAATCTTTTTGTATATCATTCCCAATTGATCTCACAGCAGGAAACTTACATAAAACATCAGCAAACTTGCAAATACTTTCATAATTCTCATAAACAGCATTCTTTACAGTTTTAAGCAAATCTTCTGTTTTCTCTGAAGGAGAACCATGTAAAGATTCCAGGCTCTTATCTTTCAACTCATATGATAAGAGTCTAGCTATATCAGTAAGATTTTCTTGGATTGATTGGGACAAAGCATGACGATGATTCTCAATTATCATAGATACTGGATCAGCTGTAACAATTAATAATTATTGATTCAGAATGAAACTGTTACTTACTCTCTCTATCAATTTCTTCAGCGACTGCATTCTCATTGATGCTCCTAAGAGCTGCTACCAATGCACTCCAAGTTGGCTTCTCTACATTGTCAGCTTTTTTCAACCATTTAGTCAAAACCTCTCTCAGGCAATGTTCAACGCTGCTGTTATTGTCAGTTTTAATGATATCGAGTGTACGATGCAACAAACCCAGTGAGAGACCCAAACGATAATACGATTTCCCAGAATACTGATACTTTTCTAACAGAGTGAGTATCTTGTTCAAGTCTGTTGTATTAAGAGGTTTTTCATTTTTCAAAGGAGGTTGAACCCTTTTATACTATAAATTACAAAACAAATGACAGATAAATATCAGACACTGCAACAATCACCTTGATAGTAGTTCCACTGCTATTCCAATATTTAATGGCAACGAATGCTAATAACAATAGCACCAGCACTATCAGGGCCTGTAAGCTTAGTGCACGTTCTTCAACAAATAATGACAAAGCAAATGTCACAGCAAAGCCTCCAACTAGTACTGAAACTATAATTTCAAAGAGCTTCATCTTTGATCTGTTTGTTGGAAGGGCGTTTCCTAAAACTAACTGCATGCGCGTGACATCACGTGGTCATAATTAACTAGGTATATTGCCATGAATATAAAACACCAAGTTTTATGTCAGCAAGTTTAATCAACAAAAGTTACAAAACTAATGGCCTAAAATAAAAAATCCAAAAGAAATAAAAATTAGCAAATAAACAATGATGCACAGAAAACCAAGTATTCAACCATATGTGACTATACATATGAAGTATTCATATGAATCAGCATTTTTAATTGCACGATAAGGCCTGGTCTTTGCTAATTTTTGATTATTTTTAGCTCCATAAGCATAATCGCTGGTACGACCAAAAGCATGAGTCCACTCGTGCATTAGGATACCTTCCTTTGTAGGAGCACCACTACGAACACAATAAACCCTTTTACTGTGGAATGCTGGGCATGGATAGACTGTCTTTGATCCTTTGTATGTGAATGCATTCCAATTGGACTTACACTTAGAATCATTGATTCTGTAGGTCACAGTGTTACGTCTTATACCATTGTAGCAAGAAGAGAGAACTCGTCTAACAATGAGGGCACAAAGGAGAAAATATTTACCAAACCACCTCCTGTAATGAGAATTGTTTTTGACGTATTTTGAGGCTCTAGAGAATTTTGAGCAGATACGTCTGTGTGCAAGAATGATGTGACGTCTTTGTGTTGAAGTCCCACCAATGAGCCTAGCACTGCTGCAAGATTCTATCTCAACTGTATCACTACTTTCATCTGCTTGGTCTCCATCTTCTTCATGAGTGTCTGGATGAGGGAGAACTGAGGACAGTGTTATCCATCAAAAGAGTGGTGGACTCTTCAACTGCAACCTCAGACATTTTAGCTTCTTCAACCTGTGCAGTCATATTGTCCTCACACACTTCAATGGTGTATTGTAGGTTATGGTGTAGTGACTATCACTGTTAAATATGAAAGCATCATTGAGTTTAACTGATGCTGATACTCAGTCTCTATTATAGAATAGCAAACAAGTTGTTGAAGCTATTCATGAGGCAGGACAAATTAAAAGAGAGCAGCGTTACCTGGAAGAACAGGTTTGACTGGTTATTAAAACTGGTTTAACCAGTTATTGTGTCTGTGTAGATTGATTGTGAGACCAGCAAGAAAGTGACCACCAGTAATTTAAAGAAGATTAATTCTGACTATCAGCAAATGAAGAATGAAAATGCACAGCTTGTAGCTCAATTAAAATCATTTTAATAATGAATAAAATATTAACTATTCAACAACTACACAATAGTAATACTGCTATTATTAGAATTAGATATAGTCTATACATAATTGTTAAGACAATAATTAGTCTATCAAAAGAAATAAAGCAATTTACTTTAACAATTTTAAAAAATTAGTCTTTTTTTAATTGCATCATAATAAGGTAAAGAAGAACAAGCTTCTTCATTTTTCTTATGTAAGAAGATGCTTATTTGATTTGTCTTGAGGGTCTCTACTAGTGATAGAACCCCATCACTATCAATGCTAGTGTACAGAATAGAAAGTGAGCAGAGTTGTTTGTTGTTAAATATGAGCTCTTTCAGTGGCTGGACACTGACTGAAGTAATACCAGAATTATAACTGAGATTTAGTGTCGTAATACTTGTGTTTTCTTTTAATGAACATACTAGTGTATTGATACCATCATCATCAATAGTATCATTACTAAGCTCTAGCTTATATATTGATTTGTTACTTGACAAATGAGGTGACAGTGAAAGGATAAAATCACTTGCTAAAGGTGTATCACATATCCTCAATTGTTCAATGGTATTTTCATTTAATAATGCTGGTATCAATAACTGAGCAGCTTGAAGTGACAATTGTCTGAGAAGATATTCATTACTTTCTAGTTTAGATATTACCTCCTGACATGTCATTAATGATGGGTTGGTTAGTTGTATGAATCCTGTGAAAATAATTATGTTCATATAAATCCATTATGTCATTCTTTCTAATTATGATATAAATAAAGGAATACCTTGTAATTGTGATAATTATGCATAAGAATTTGAATTACATGCGCTTTAAATTATACCTGGGAGTTCATCATCATATACATGTATCTTTTCTTTTGGATCTTGATATTCAGAACTTGATTGTGATGATGTGTCTAGAATGCACAAATTAGATCATGTTTATTAAAGACTCAATATAAAAATACCACTGCTACCTTCTTTTTCATCATCTAAATGGTTGTATTTAGACCCTTTATGAAATTGAACAATAAAATTTTACAATCTAAAACATCACTTAACCAGTTATTGTTTCACCTTTCAAATCAGACTCTGCTTCTTTTAAAGAAAAACAAGTATAAATCTATATAATCAATATTAATATTTTACCAATGCTTTTTTCATTTTTAATCTGCAATAGCATCTCTTCTTTTTCTTTTTTAGCAGCAGCTTTAAAATTTTCAAGCTCTAGTATTAGTTTTAAATATTATAATAATTGTATTGCCACTTACGTTTATGAGCTTCAATTTCCTCCTGCTTTTCCTTCATCAATTCTTTTATTCTGATATCGTCTTAAAGACATATAGTACATGTGATCAATGCATGGAATTTTATAAACATGTATACCTTTTTGTAAGTCATTAATCTTTTTTGTTAATAATAATTCTTGAATCAATTTTCTCTCCTATAAATTTTAAATCAAATCTATTAATTATTATGACACAATTACTGCATTAGAGGATGCTTCACTACGTATTAATTGTACATTCAAGGATACAAGTAATTGCTTGATTGTACTACCACTACTATAAACTGATGTAATGTGCTGGCTCTTCTCTCTTTCTATGGTCATAATAAATAACATTATGTATAACATATACTTGCCTAAATGACTACTCCAAGTTGAAGTTAGTGGTGAAAATATTAATTTTTTAAACTTTTCTACAGTTTCCATTTTAGTCTAGAAATTTTTTTATTAATCTAGACTAACTTTATAAGTTACCTTATTTTGAGAGTATACTGTACTGTAGCCAATGGTCATTTTTATCAATCCTTCTTTTTTTAGTTGTTCAAGATTTTTAAGAGCAGTTGCAATCAATGATTCAGAAAGAGCAAGGGGAAAGGAACAAGTGATGGTAAATGAGTTTCCTTCCTTTATAACAGCAATTCTAACATTTAGCGCAAAACTTTCGAAAGCAATTGCTATTAGATCCTGAACATCTTTTAGCGTTCTTTCATCAATACTTTTATCAACTGATAACTGAAGTGTCTCACATTTGAGGGAAGAAGGATAGCCAATAGTTTCATTCAGCAACGAATGAAGGGAAATGCTGCAAAAATCATCTTTAATTTCTTTATACTCATTAATATGTTCCTTAGCTTCTTCAATTTTAAAACGTTCAATTATCCCTTCAAGTAAAGTGAGATCCACCAATGAGCAATGATCAATTATGATCTGCATAATTTCCCCCGTTGAATGACATGCGTTTAATTTCTCCTTAACATCAGAGTTACTTGTTTGTATTTGCAAAAATCCTTTCAATTCTTGCTCTTCAACTTCAACAGCTATTACCTTTATGGCACTATCAACTGCAATGGCCCATTTATTTCTCATTTCTTTACATTCCAAACTAAAGTTCAGTGGAACTTTAATAGGGTCTATAAGACAAAGTGTAATAGAATAAAGCCATGCAGCCATGCAGCCATACCTCCATTCCTACCCATAGCTCTAACTTCAATACTATTATCAACAATTTTTTCACCTATAACATATGTATGTATTATGTAATAAATTTGAGTTACAAATGACTTACTGTAATTTTTTTGTATATCATTCCTAACTGATCTCACAGCAGGGAACTTACATAAAACATCAGCAAACTTGAGAATACTTTTATAATTCTCATAAACAGCATTCTTTATAGTTTTAAGCAAAACTTCTATTTTTTCTGAAGGAGAACCATGTAGAGATTCCAGGCTCTTAATTTCCAACTCATATGATAAGTGTCTAGCTATCTGAGTAAGGTTTTCTTGGATTGATTGAGACAAAGCATCACGATGATTCTCAATTATCAAAGATACTGGATCAGCTATAACAATTAATCACCATTGTTTTAGAATGAAACTGTTACTTACTCTCTCTATCAATTTCTTCAGCGACTGCATTCTGATTGATGCTCCTAAGAGCTGCTACCAATGCACTCCAAGTTGGCTTCTCTACATTGTCAGCTTTTTCCAACCATTTAGTCAAAACCTCTCTCAGGCAATGCTCAACACTGTTGTTATTGTCAGTTTTAATGATATCCAGTGTACGATGCAACAAACCCAGTGAGAGACCCAAACGATAATACGATTTCCCAGAATACTGATACTTTTCTAACAGAGTGAGTATCTTGTTCAAGTCTGTTGTATTAAGAGGTTTTTCATTTTTTAAAGGAGGTTGAACCCTTTTATACTATGAATTACAAAACAAATGACAGATAAATATCAAACTCTGCAACAATCACCTTGATAGTAGTTCCACTGCTATTCCAATATTTAATGGCAACGAATGCTAATAACAACAGCACCAGCACTACCAGCACCTGTAAGCTTAATGCACGCTCTTCAACAAATAATGACAAAGCAAATGCCACAGCAAAGCCTCCAACTAGTACTGAAACTATAATTTCAAAGAGCCTCATCTTTGATCTGTTTGTTAGAAGGGCGTTTCCTAAAACTAATTGCATGCACGTGACATCACGTGGTCATAATTAACTAGGTATATTGCCATGAATATAAAACACCAAGTTTTATGTCAGCAAGTTTAATCAACAAAAGTTACAAAACTAATGGCCTAAAATAAAAAATCCCAAAGAAATAAAAATTAGCAAATAAAGAATGATGCACAGAAAACCAAGTATTGAACCATATGTGACTATACATATGAAGTATTCATATGAATCAGCATTTTTAATTGCACGATAAGGCCTGGTCTTTGCTAATTTTTGATTAGCACTAGCTCCATAAGCATAATCATTGGTGCGACCAAAAGCATGAGTCCACTCGTGCATTAGGATACCTTCCTTTCTAGGAGCACCACTACAAACACAATAAACCCTTTTACTGTGGAACGCTGGGCATGGATAGACTGTCTTTGATCCTTTGTATGTGAATGCATTCCAATTGGACTTACACTTAGAATCATTGATTCTGTAGGTCACAGTGTTACGTCTTATACCGTTGTAGCAAGAAGAGAGAACTCGTCTAACAATGAGGGCAC